ATGACCAATATTGTTTCCTATCTTTTCAATATATAATGCAGTGACATCATCTGGGGCATTGGTTATCATCTCAGTAAGGTTCCAAAACATTCACCAGCTTCAGGCAGAGTTACAGGGTATACTGCAAGTTGCTTGTTTCAAAATGAAGCATAAATACTGTTCTGCAGGCTCATATAAAAATGCTAAAGCAAACCCAGCTTTAAACAGAATTACACTCACAGAAAGCTGCACCTTACTAATTTTAACCTCATGAACTAGACAAAATGATGGGCCTTTGAATTCCACTAACATGAACTCTTTAACTGTCATAAACAAATACCCAGACTTGTTTTTAACTGCATTTTCTGGTTCCCCTCTGACAGGTTCCCATATTATACTTAGATGGGGTCATACATGATAATAATGTATGTCCTCAAACTCAGAGGGAGCCTTCAAAATGCTTAGATCTAAATGTAGATCTTCTCATCCTGGCTGTAATTGCACTGATACAGGACATACTCTCTTTTTCCCCTGTAACTCTACACATGCCATAGATAGTTGATCTGTACTACCATGAGAGTACTCAAAACAAAACGCAAGCAGATCAGTATCACCACAGTTCCCTTCAGCTGAAACAAGTCAGTCGTATACTTGAACTACCAAGACACACATATCACTTAGAAGTTTCTCATTTTAGAGACCATACCAGTGATTAAAGGCTAACTAAAATATCTTAATATGGGTGGGTTTTGACAGAAACATAATTTATTCTTCCTCTTTGCTTACAAGCAAAGCACAAACATGAATTTCTGCAAATTAAAATATTGCAAACTGTCATCTTGTTTATGTTTGTTACAGTGAGATAACACAATATTGCACATGCTCCTCTGAAAATTATTTTCATACAAATTAAAAGGTCGGCATGGAGATTTCCTAAGTACAAGTTTTGTTTACTATGGGACCTGGGTCACTAATTGATCTTTGTGAAGCAGCAGTTGCATGACAGTTAATTTTTGGTCAGAATTAATGAACATTATTACTGCGCTACGTAGAAGTGATTACTTAGGTAAGGCCTGTGGGCCTTACTGGGGCACGGGGGACCATCCACCTATATTTGTCTCTGAGATAAGAAGGTGTGGCTTGGCTACAGATAAGGTTCCTCTTAAAGCTAACTTTTGGGATGAAAGGTGAACATAAGTAAGAGCAAGATATTGGTTCAGGAAAGCCACTGCCTCCTTACTATCTTCCACAAGATCTGCAGAAAAAGGTAGCAGAGACAGTGACGAAGGTGAATGTCACCACTTGCAGATACCACTGACAACACCTCTGCTCTGAAAGAGGACCTAAAGTCTAGTACTGGCAGCAGCGATTTGGCTACGATGACAGGGCTAGGGGCTAGGATGGCAGCTCAGCCCAGCAAATACAAGCACAGAATAAAACCTGCCACCAAAGGGTTATGTGGCTTTACTTGCATCAGGAAGTAGAAGAAGAGGTGCTGTCCTAGAATAAAGGCGAATACTGGAATTGGGTGTAGGTTTGGGACTCAGGCCAGCAGATATTGATAAACTGCAGCTTAGAAAGCACCTTGAGGTTAACTTGGAAAGTGATGCTGTCTTAAACCATCTGACTGCAGAGATCTGTAGGATAAGGAGTGAGATAACATTAAGATTAGGAGTGGAATTAGGGTTTGAGCATACCCTGGAAGAGATGGATGAACTGCATCACCTTGTTTCAGTACCAGAGAGGGCCGTGCACCCTGATAAAAGTACCAGGTGACAGGACTTCACACGCCCTTAGCAAGCCCAACCCCACCCAGCATGCCAGGCCCACCCTGCCTATATCCTTTGTTGACCCAAGGCTCCCCAAGCCGTATCTGTGCTGCCAACCTGATGCGTTCCTGATCCCTCGGGATTACTGTATGCCTGTACACTTTTGTCCTCGTGTATGTGCACAGCGAACCTGGCACTCCCGAGCTGTACAGACTTCCTGTACCGTATGTGCACGGTGTGTACGTTCGGCGGATGGGGGCAGGGAAGAGGGCCCCAGACAAAGAAAGCGTCTGTCTGAAAATAGCCTGTCCCCACTGTCTCTCTTTCTTCCTTCATTTGCACTAGCGCCACCACATCCAAAATACATCAAAGACACAAGAAGTTAAGCGCCTGGCAACCAACGTCTCCTCTCTTCACAGATGCATTTTTAAAAACAGTGGATCAAGTCTGTGCAGCAGGTTGGTCCTGCCAAGGAAATCAAAAGCCAAATCAGCCAAATACACTGAGGAGCAGCACAAAAGCTCGTCTGTGTCTTCTCCAAACAGAAGCTTTGCCAATGATGATCTTGGCAGTACTATTTAGCATTTACCCTTTTCCCACTTCTTAGGAATAAATCTCCACCACGTTACTCAGAATTTTCCAGGTTAGTGGAGAGTTCAGGACTGACCTTGCCTACTTCACATGACAGAAAAACCTGACACACATCTTACCTATCTCTGTGTTTTAATCACAAAATAGGCTCATCCACATTAGTGATCAATGGTGAAAAGTCCAGTCTTCACAGCAGACCTGACAATGACACTTTCTGGAGAAAGATGAAACTTATAATCACATTTCAAGGCCAAAATAATGTCCATTCTGGAGACTATGTAGCTAAAAGACTTAAAAACCAATACAAGTAGCACACAGCCCATCTCTACCATTTTCCAAGCTTGCAATTTAGAGAATGCAGGGTAGGCAAGAATGACAGTTGCTCAATTCAATAAGCAAACCTGCTGCAGCATTCCCTACAAACTGCAGAAGAGAAGGCTTCACAGCGAGTCTTGCCAAGGGGGAATTACAATTATTGAGCCTCATGGTCACAAGATCACACACTACTGTTGTGAAACAGTCACCGGGTAAATAAGGGTGTAGCCTGCACCACAGTTTGCCACTGCAGAGGGGGAAGAAAAAGCCACATGCAAAACGTGGTCTTATCCCTGAAAAGGTACCAAGACAAGAAAAAAGGATCTTACAAATCTGCACCGATGTCAAAACCATGGCAGAACGATGCTGCCATTCTAGTACTGTCAATGCAGTAACAACGCAGAGTAGGGAATAAAGGTGAGTCGCAGAGTTAAGCCTGCAGCAAATAATTTAGGAAAAAGCAACAACAGCAAGAAAAGAGAAATCCAAGGGATGGAGCAGTAAAAGTTAGGATGATGTAGAAATGATAGCTGAACTTCAGTTCATAAAGCTGAAGTCACAAAAGTGGTATGTTTCCAGAATGATAAAAAAATTAATAGCAAAATATGGTTTTAAAATATAAGACACTGATTTATTTAAAACATATAAATAGGCAGGTACCTCAGACTACCAGAGATAACATATTAAGAAAGCAGAACCAGGAAGATGCCATTCAGCAGCCTTAACAGGTGAAACCTGACCATTTTCTTATCCTTTCTTTTTTTTTTCAGGGATGCGTACCAGTGTAACCGAAGGAGTTCAGAAGTTTTCCAAACTTAATGTTTTCTTGTTTGCAGAAACCAAGTAAAGAACTTTTAAAATAATCACTTCTACAAGCCACTGCCCTCAGCTCTGCGTATATGTATGTCTCTTCTGCCTCTGTGCTAAGCAAAACTTCCTGTAACCATCCAACTTTCATTGTCTCACCAATTCACAGCATTTTTGCCAAGCTGGGGGGAAAAGATGATATATTGCACCTATCCTCTACACAGCACCGTGCTGTTTGCAGCATCTCCCACAGGAGCTTAGCAGGGTGCTGCTGGCCACTCCTAGTGAAGGTGACTGGGTGACAGGGAGCAGCAGAGGGGGGAGAGAGCAAAGCAACCTTCGCTCCTGCCCACAGTGAGGGCACCGACGCAGCCAGCACTGCTGGGAGTGGCAGAGGCTTGAAGGGGAGACCAGGCCCTCCCTACCACAAGGGAGTGAAAGGCCACTTCATTCATTTCTCCTTCTGACCCCTGCTTCTCTCAGGGAGGGAGAAAAAATAAAGGCATTAAGCATTTAGCAGTATTTTTGATGCAAGGACAATACAAAAGCATCTCAAACAAAAGTTACTCCCATTCCAGTCTCCTAAGAGCTTCACTCTTTACTGTCAACCCATCAGGAGTGGTGGGTTTTAGTGGGGTCCTGTTTCTGCACACTAACGTGTCTTGATGTGCTGTCCGGAACACTCTTCTAGTCTCAGCTCCCACCACTACCCTCAGTTTTTGTGACACACTAAGCTTCTGGTCCTCAGATATGACTTGCATTCAGACATACAAGGTTCAATCCCCCAGTACAAATTAGCATACATTTTTCCAACCTGTATTAAACTCTCAGATTATTTATGAGGTAAACCAATAATACAAGTTTTGTCAAATCCAATGCCTCTGTCTCTACTAAGAGCTCATTGGGCTCTAAAACTTGTATTGAAGAAGACTCTATAGAAAACAGAGGGTTAATACTTTCAAATGATTGTTCACCATAGCCCAGATCAAATTAAAGAACCCGTTGTAATTAAAATTCATAAGCTGCATTTCCAAATCTCACAACTCAGGTCAAGAACCACAACCATAATGATCATCAATGAAATACTGTATCCTGACTGACTCACTCCATACAAATCAGCTCCTTGTTTAAAAGGCCCTCCTCTGCTACAGTCGAGGAGGGTGGCAGAGGAAGAAAGTGATAAGGAATAATTAAAATAATACTGCATAATGAAAAGGTGAATTAATTGAAACAGCCCATGAAGTATCCAAATGTACACATAGTAATTCAACAGGTATTACACTGGAAGGCTGACTATCCAGCACATGGGTGAAATCAGAAGGTGGTATTAATAGCACAACCAACAATAAAGCTGGTCATGGATTTTCTGTTGCTTCCTGTCAGACATGAAACACTACTGCACGTCATTTTTGCAAGCAAACCTCACAGAAATCAGAAAATGATGCAGGCAGCATCACACTGCACAATAACATGGAAATAGAGTTGATTTTCTCATTGATAAAACCAGTGAAATATCATATAAATTGCCCATTACTGTACCTTCATGACATCTTTATAGGAATGAATGGCCTCAACTTCCTCTTTGTCGTCGTCATCATCCTCCACTCCTTCATCCAAACCATCATATCCTTCATCCCTACTCCCATCTGCTTCTGTGGTATTAGTCATGTGGTCAATAAGCTGCTCCAGTGGAGGACTTAATTCCCGCTCTTCATTCTCCTTCAAACCATAGTCCAGGGCTTTATATATAATAATCCCTAGTGATTCAATAACCTATAAAAGTGAAAAAGAAATATTTATTAATGCCATTTACATGAACAAATAGGTCAGTCTAGGAACTCCCTTTTCTGGTGTTTGTGTAACAAAATTGGTGACAGAGAGGGCAATAAACATCAAAACTAAAAAGATCCTCTAATACAGCAGTACTCCAGTAATGCAGCACAGGACACGCAAGAGCAGGATGTACCACATACCTAGCGCTTTCTTATTTCAAAGTTTGACATAAAACTCTTAATTTAAAAAACAAAGCAGGACCATTTTAGATTATTTTCTCTTTTTCTTTCTAATATGACAAACTTCAAAATAACCTTACTCTAGACTTCGTAAGACTACATTACATGCATATGACCTTTGTGGGGGAAGTGGAGGGGGAAGAAATTAGAAGAAAGAGTAAACTAACATGATGAGATGACTCCCTCCTCCCACAAATTAATGACACTTGGAAACTGCCTTTCAGCTCCTGCATCTCTTCACTGACCTTAGAGGTGTCTGGACACAGCTGTGGACATCCCAATATTTATTCACTGAGCACGAGACATCAGCCTACAAGAACTCCTTTGCCTCTTGCACAGCCGGTGAAGGCACATACATTCCACTGAAACTACCAACAACTGGATTTCATAGTAATGAGGTAGTACCTTGATTTTTCACTTAAGGTTGCTTCTTTTTTTGTGGTCTGTCAAGAGTGAAGCAAACAGACCTCTTGGCATAAGCTAGCCAAAAATTGTTGTGAACATCCCAAAATGCTAAACGCATATTTTATTTATTGGCATTATTTTCATCTAGCATTTTAAGGATGTAAAGAGATGGCATTTCAAACTGAGGAATTTGGAAATGGGTATTCACAGAGAAGGAAGGGAAAATGGGCTTGCAAGAGTAATCCACAAGAAGGTAATGTTCCTGTTGGGAGATCCTTGCCTGACAACAAAAGTAGGACTGGAGCTATTGCATGTAATTTCTGATCTTCCTTGTGTGATGTGATGGCTAGCATGTCACACAAACGAACAGACTCGTAGTGTAGGAGTAGTTGGCACTAGAGCAACTTTAATAACAGGAGCATTTCTAAACATCTAAAACCTTGTAATCAAATGCCATTCTCTCTCATCTGGCTTTCAGCACTATCCTGGTCAACATACTTTTTAATGTATATTTTTGAAATTCTATTTGGGTATATAGGACAACTCAAATGGATTCTCAAAATGCTACATCTGACTCTAGCAGCTTATATATTTCAGCACAGCAAAGCATTTTTGGTCTGAGAGACTGGAGGTTAGCAAAGACTTAAAGTGATATCCTATCAGTTTATCCAGACCGACAGTTTAATGAACTAGCTCTAGTCTGACAGCTTTACACTTGCATATTTCATTCATCTGTTGAGATTATTTTGCAGTGTAAATTCACTTTGCAAGGCAGTGGTTAATAAACAAACAAACATAAAAAACAATACATAAAAACACACTTTTATAATTTATTTCCAGTAATTTTGATAATTCAATATAAATAATTTTCCTATGCTGTTCCCTTGAAATGTATTTATACATATTTGGAAAATATTCTTAAAATACAGCCAAGAAAAGTGATTAGGCAAATCAATGAAGAAAAAATTGGCCTTATTTATTTAGTTCAAAGAACAGCTTCTGACTTGGGAAATGCTTGTGAGACAGCAAATCGTACCAGGGAAGTATCACTGCGTGCTTGCTGAGTTCTCATTCCCTTCCCCAGACTCTGCCATGACCCACTTCGGAGACAAGACACTGCAACACACAGTCCTTAAAAAAATCTGTAACGGATCAAACCTAGGTTTGCAGCATACCTGGCTTGTCTCTTAGAGAAGCTATTTTGTAATAACTATCCCATAAAACTGTTAAAAAAAAATCCGAAAATGTGAAAATTTCACATTTAGTGAAAATTTTCACCTGCAACTCAGGTTGTGAGTATTATTTCAATATATACCCCTTCAGCAACTGAAAGGGAACAAAGAAGAACAAGTTAATTCCAATTTGAAGCAGACCTAAAGAAAATTAAGTACAAGTGAATAATCGCTTTGATATTTTAAACACTTGGGAGTAAACACAGTGTGAGTAATTTCTAACTTCAATAAAAACTAAATTTGAAAGACCTTAGCATACATGAGGAGGACTGAGATGTCCAAATGACATGCAAAGAAAATAATGTCTTGTGCCGTTGCAAAGATGGCTGCTGAGCACAGCTTCTGGATTTTGCTACACCAACACTTCAAAAAATAGAAGGAGGGGGAATAAAGAAAGTGCGTTCTCTCTGCCTACTGTTTGGCAAGAGGATTAAGGCATTCAAAAGCACCGTGGCTAAAACTGGATGACAGCTGCTTCTTTCTTTGATGTATCTGCAGTGGAGCTTTTGCAGCTCAGGAATACAGTTTGTGCATTTTTATGTGCTATGAACAGATTTCATAATATACGCAAAGCTGACACAACATGAAAGCCTGCAACAGCACCAATTCAGACCTATATTTCCATCTCCCAGCTCCTTATTTAGGAGTCATGATCAAAACCGTATTTATTCAGTGTCTGTCAGCATCACAGATTCTTCTTGCTGAAAGACGAAGCAGCAAACACCTTAACTGAGAAACTTTGCTTTGAGCTGCATTAAAACTGAAAACACTCAGCACTTTCAGTAATACAGGTTTACCGAGGATCTTGTAAAACCACACAAGTGCCATACGAATATCAAGCGAAAGTCACAGAATCATCAACACTTCTTCACACGGGCAAAACTACTAATGCAACTTCACACAAATAAAACTTCTGTGCCTATATAACTGAAAACAATACACAATGTTAGAAAGTCAGCTCATTGCTCCTTAACACGAGTGCTGTCACTTTGCCTGTAGTACAAACCAAATGCAAACAAAAAAAAAGGAAAAGCTTTTCACAGCTGAATGGATGAATTGATAAGTATGCAGGGTTGTGAGGTGGATAATCAGGGACTATCACTCTTTTTTTAAACATCAATTATTTATGAACAAGTCACTGCCTCTAAACTGCACTGTTTGCTAATTTCACACAAATTGAATACTTCTGGCACCTAACAAGGGACAAGCACTGACATCGTCTTCAGAGGTATAATAGGAAAAACAGCGATAAGAGGTTTAGCAAGGCTCCTTTAAACCACAAAGCTGTACAGTGACACACTAAAACAACTGCATGATGCTGCAATAAGTTCCAGCACTAATGATAAATGATGCTGCTTAATTTAAAAAAAAATTAACATTTTCGACCTCATTTGCATACCTAATTTATTTAGATTTTGGTGAAGGATCTGACCGTTGCAAATCAATCAGTCACTAACTTTAAAAAAATAAACAAGGAAGTCTGCATTATTATGCTTTATACCTTCTCACCAAGTTCTTTTGAAAGTCATGGCTTCAGACAAAAAAAAAAAAAAAAGGCAGATTTCCCACAGACTGAACTTGTACTCTGTTGTGCTTAAATAGTTAGTGAAAGGGGAATTTTGTCTCATCGCGAGTATTCTTTCAGGTCCTACACCAGGCTGGACTCTATTATACTGTTCTTTTATAACAAGTTGCGATAAAATTGCTGGAAAAACTTTGACTTCAAACACGATGTAAAAACAATATCCTCACATTCCTTTTACACACACAGCAAAACCAAAACCCAAACCATTCGGATTATTTTCGTACACAAACATTGCCTGGAACTTTCCATTCCGCACGCCTTCCTTCAACACATTAAGGCATGCCTCTTGGAAAGAGGTTCATTAGGGGTTTAGGTCTTTTATGAGACACAAATAATGTTCTTCCAGTGAACACTGCTAGTTGAACACTCTCAAACACTCTTCCAATAGACAGCCTTTGTACAGGAAACAAACATGTCTGAGGCTTGCAAAAGTCTCCAGTAAAATTACTATTTATCTTTTTTATAACATTTCAGAGAAGAATCCTTTTTTCCCCTCAACGTACATCTCTGACTGTTGCTGAAATGCGGATGAGAACAGGCAGAATCCACATGCCATTCCCCCACTCTCCGCACACACAATAGGGCGGTCTGAGCTTTCATCCCCTTCCTAGGCTTGCCTCAATTTTTAAACAAAGCAACAAAGCCTAAGGACAGGCTTGTACTTACAGCAGCAAAGGGCTTTTTTTCAGCTCTAACGCTTGTCCCTCCCTGAAGTTCTCCTTTCCTCCAAAAGCCACTCAGGTTTTGTATCCCTAAATTGGGATTAAAGACGCCGTAAAGTTCCAGCTCCTAAAGTGAGTCAACTAACTTTGAACTTTCCCACAAGGACCTCAGATATGGCAACCTGTCACAACAATATCTGCATTACGACTGCACTGCCTTTTATGAATTCTCATTTTTTAAAATTAAAAATCTATACTAGAATTACTATTTTTAAGTGCTCCCGTTTCTTACCAGCAGATCTCCAATACATTTTATGAAGGGGAATCGCCCTGCCCTACGGTAGGAGTGCTGAGAGCCCAGAGCTGGCGTTAGCCACGGCACTCCTTAGGGCAGCGCTCCTCTCCACCGCCACCCCTGGAATTAGGCAGCACTGACTCAACCTGCTAAGACTAACCTGTCCTACTGTGGGCTCTAAATCAGCCTGCCAAGACCTTCCACGCTGTGCTTCTGGAACCATGACATGCGGCGTAAACCCACCCACAGACACCCTTACGTCAAGAGCTATGTCATCGTAAACTTTCTGTGATGCATTAGGAGACACACAAACACGCACAAGTTTTTGTGATAAAATTCTGTAATACAATCCCAAAAACAAGCATGTTAAAATTTCATGTAAACCCAACTGTTCTCCAGCTAGATGACAGAGGGAGCAACCTATTGTCCTGGTTATCATTTCCGTCTGTAACAAAGCCAATTGGCTTGCTTCTTCAGTACCCAATTCAGGCACGCTTTTAGGAAGGGTGAACAAGTGACAAGGTTAGGATAAACCAAAGTACACTTTTCGGTTGTTTACCTCATTCTTAGATGCCCTACATA